AAACCTTGTGGACTTGAGTTTTATTTATAACAAAGTGTTGCGATCGTACGTGTGTTATGACCTGCGGATAGATTATTTATTGGCTATGCTTCCATGAATTCTGGAGTTATCTTTTCCTTGCTTGTTGCTCGATTTCTGACATAAATATAAACATGGAAACAAAACGGTGTGCACAATAATCAATCGAATCCGAATTGTGGGGTATGAAAAAGAAACAAAACGATCCGAAAGAGAATACGCCTGTTGTTAACTACGGTATGATCGTTAGAAGGAGGCGACTAATGTGGGAACCCCTACAGTACATGGTATTTGCGTTGGTGCCCTGTACGTCTGGACACTAAAGCATCCAGAAAACAGACTGCTGTACCCATTGCAATAGTTTGGATCTCTCTACTTATACCCACCTTTTGTTTCCTAGCGCCTTGTTTGGCAGTACCTTACTTCTGGCTTTGATGTTGAGCGTTCGCCCAGATTAGAAAGGCAATGAGTTCTGTCCCCAAACCGGGACATACCAACGTCCTTAAAAGTGGTAGTTGTTATTCTCTGCTGAACGACTGGTTCAGCCGTTGTCAGTATATTGTGACCGGGCGGGATGCTGTGCTAGTGGCTCCGGCATGATAGTTCAGTGAGATAGCATTATAACGTCGCAATCAGATCCGCGCTATCACAAGGAGGCAAATACTCCAACAAACCCTATCTCCAGCACACATACACGCATACACAACACACATGGAGGCACGTCATAAAATGACCTAAGCTGTTAATAGGACGTTAAACAAAATAAAACTAAACCAAACCACCATTATTAAATATCATAAATTGTTTTCTAAATTAAAAAAAAATGTGTACAATAATCTGATATCTTTAATTGTATTTTTGTATCATAACAATCAGCCCTAAACTTCACCATCAATATAATATCTTCAAAAAGATATCTATATTTCAACAATCTGTCTGTCATTAGCAATATACATGTAGATAACATATCATGAATTAAAGTCATATTGTTGGAACCTGTCCATTATTGCCTTTTTAAAAATACATTTATCTTGATTTTATTTCCATATTTCAACTGCCTGTCTATAAGTACGTCCATGGATAGCGTTTTCTATATACACAGGTTTAATTCCGCATGTAAAATGAATAAAGCTGATTATTTTTCTGAAAAAAAAACCAAAGTTGACCTGGCCAGTGTATAATGTTTGATGTTTTAAATATAATTTACTAACTTACATATATAGGTTATAAAATATTAATAAATTAACAAGTTTTGACAGGAATTTTAACAGTTGATTGATTGTACTGTAAACATCAGCGACAAATTGTTAACACTACAAGGGTAAAGGGAGACAACTGCGATAACATGGTGATACAGTTCAGATCTTCATTCTTTTACAATTATTATAAGACTTTCAAAACAATTCCATGGATACCCTTGCAAGAGTACAAGGAAAATAAGGCCAGGTGTTCCGGAAAGGTAAGCGTCTTCTGCTATAAAGTCATACCTTTGTAGCTTGTTTTCTCATTGTGCTATATAAACTCTCTATAATTAGGTAATTTTCAAAGTTATATTTATTGACGCATTGTTCACCATATTTACTTGATATTTAATGAAATTAGGGTTAAACATTGACAAAAAATCGATATACTTGGAGACCCTTTAAAATACATTGGGATTATATACATGTATGCAAGGTTGTGTCGTAGGCCACAGGTAAACCGTTGTTCTATGCCAGAATGGACGAGCGTTGTTTCATCCGTGTAAATATTCGGTGAAATATCAACCAATGCTTATCAATTGTGACCGGCTGTGACTGTACATATAATACTAGGTTGTACATGTTTCCACAACAAAATGTATCGCCTTATTATCTTGTCGAACTCTCGGCCGACTGTTCTTTTTCCATGAATAATTCATTGTTATCGGCCTTTTTAAGGGGGTACATGTGTTCAAATACGGCAAAACTATGATTTTACTGCATCGTTCATTTTACGTTTACTATAGTTAGGGTAGGAGGAGCCATAGTAAATCAAAATATATCTACCGCCAATATATGACATTAACTGTTCACAGCAACATTATTCTGAAGATAATCAAAAAGAAAAACATACATGGAGACTCTTTAAAAGAACCATAAATCTTTTGTAAGTTATAAACTGTATGCTTTATACTTAAACATTAGCCTTGGTATGATAAAGTAAATTAGAATGCATGTAAATAATACAGGAACCACAAATAAAACAGGGGAACTTGTTTTATACTTCTGAGTTCTTACTTACTTGATGGTTGAATCGCCTGTTACCCGGATAGTGGGGTCACATTTAGAAGAATAAACAGTTTGGCAGGTATATTTAAAGAATAACCGTGGTTATTGTATTGGCTGAACGGTACACTGTAAAAACTATGTGAAGTTTGCATAAATATGCGAAGCTGTGTTTGCACAAACGTTAATACAGTATTATTGTTATAAGCACATAAACCGTATAACTCCCCATATAGCCATGGTTACTCATTGTACGAAACGTTACAAGACATAACCATCGTTACTCATCGTACTTGATTTTAAAAGGCATAACCATAGTTACACGATGTACTAAATGTTACAAGACCTTACCATGGCTACTCATTGTACTTAACTTGAAAAGGCATAACCATAGTTACACAATGTACTAAATGTTACGAGACCTTACCATGGCTACTCATTGTACTTAACTTTGAAAGGCATAACCATAGTTACACAATGTACTCAATGTTACAAGACCTTACCATCGTTACTCATTGTACTTAACTTTAAAAGGCATAACCATAGTTGCACAATGTACGAAATGTTACAAGACCTTACCATCGTTACTCATTGTACTTAACTTTGAAAGGCATAACCATAGTTACACAATGTACTCAATGTTACAAGACCTTACCATCGTTACTCATTGTACTTAACTTTGAAAGGCATAACCATAGTTACACAATGTACTCAATGTTACAAGACCTTACCATCGTTACTCATTGTACTTAACTTTGAAAGGCATAACCATAGTTACACAATGTACTCAATGTTACAAGACCTTACCATCGTTACTCATTGTACTTAACTTTGAAAGGCATAACCATAGTTACACAATGTACTCAATGTTACAAGACCTTACCATCGTTACTCATTGTACTTAACTTTGAAAGGCATAACCATAGTTACACAATGTACTCAATGTTACAAGACCTTACCATCGTTACTCATTGTACTTAACTTTGAAAGGCATAACCATAGTTACACAATGTACTCAATGTTACAAGACCTTACCATCGTTACTCATTGTACTTAACTTTGAAAGGCATAACCATAGTTACACAATGTACTAAATGTTACGAGACCTTACCATGGCTACTCATTGTACTTAACTTTGAAAGGCATAACCATAGTTACACAATGTACTAAATGTTACGAGACCTTACCATGGCTACTCATTGTACTTAACTTGAAAAGGCATAACCATAGTTACACAATGTACTCAATGTTACAAGACCTTACCATCGTTACTCATTGTACTTAACTTTAAAAGGCATAACCATAGTTACACGATGTACTAAATGTTACAAGACCTTACCATCGTTACTCATTGTACTTAACTTTGAAAGGCATAACCATAGTTACACAATGTACTCAATGTTACAAGACCTTACCATCGTTACTCATTGTACTTAACTTTGAAAGGCATAACCATAGTTACACAATGTACTCAATGTTACAAGACCTTACCATCGTTACTCATTGTACTTAACTTTAAAAGGCATAACCATAGTTACACGATTTACTAAATGTTACAAGACCTTACCATGGCTACTCATTGTACTTAACTTTGAAAGGCATAACCATAGTTACACAATGTACTCAATGTTACAAGACCTTACCATCGTTACTCATTGTACTTAACTTTAAAAGGCATAACCATAGTTACACAATGTACTCAATGTTACAAGACCTTACCATCGTTACTCATTGTACTTAACTTTAAAAGGCATAACCATAGTTACACAATGTACTAAATGTTACAAGACATAACCATCGTTACTCATTGTACTAAACGTTATAAGATATAACCATCGTTACTCATTGTACTTGACTTTGAAAGAACATAATCATGACTATTCCTGTTACATAACGTTAAAAGACATACCATACTTTTCAGTTAATAAATAATGAATATTTATTCATTTCTGATATATTATTTAGACATCAACGACAATACTGCGCTGTAATTTCATTGCCAAGCAACTTCAACGAATCAAAAGTTAGAATTACAAATACAACAACAAACAAACATTGCGGCATAGAACGCCATAATATGTGTGTTGTCTTATTTGTAGGCGATACGACTATCCTGAAGTGTGTTCTTGATGGAACAACCAACATTAAATGACGCAGATTTATAAATCATTGCCCAGAAATGTATACCTAAACATATTATGTGTTGTCTTATTTAGATAGATTTCTAGTACATAACAGTATCGTAACACAAAAATTAACACACGGATTTATCTAAAAGTCTGGTATGTGTAGGTTTTCAGATTGAAACGAGATTATTGCACATAATCGTTCACATGGACGTATTCAAATGACGTATATTTAAAAGTTTCAAGATCATGAACAGAAACATATGTACATTGACCTTGAAACCGGTTGATTTATGTAGGTTTCGAAAACCTACTCCGCAGATACATTATGCTCGCATCACATCTAGACTAAACCAATGGTAATGTCTATGCATATATTGAACATTTAGTAGTCCGTCCTTAGGTCTCTCAGTAGAGCTAAGTGATTTGTAGAACCTACCTAACGGGGGGAGGGAACACGACAGAAGTCAAATTTTGGAATGATAACGCATCATTTCCACTGATATTTGAATTATTTGTCACGACTATAAATATATATCACGTGACCGTATAACAAGAATCCAACCATTGATATAGACGGCTGAAGCCCGCATGTGATATATATATATATACATGTATAAAGGATTGGTAATGTTGGACCAGGTGGAAGGACTTACCTAGCTGTTTTCACGTAACATTTGGAATTGGCTTAAAGTGTAATTAATTAATACAAAAGATCGCAAAGAGGGAAAGTAACACCTGGATGTTTCGTTTAGATGCCGTGTTCATGATTCGAGTCAGAAAGTGTATGACTTTAAGGTTAATCCGTAAACCCAATAAGAAAACATGACAGTCGAGAGTGTTGTTGACGATGGAAATGTTTATTTGTTTGAGGACATCTGCGGGGATTCGCCATTCTGGGTGAGTGACCAAAGATAAGCATTAGACACACACACGTAACTATACCTATACAGTTTGGTAACAGATACAGTTAAATTACATTGAAACATTTATTGAAATTCAGCAAAAGAGCGATCACGTCAACCAAACCCTCTACGATGTACAATTTTACAATATTTGTCTTAAACATATGATTTATAAAAATACCACATAATGTCTGCCAGAATAGATTCCAGCAACAAGGTCAAGGTCAACCGCGGGGACTGATATTCCTATATCAAAGACAACACTCTGAAATTAAAACAAATGTCTGTTAATACAAGTTTAGTTCAAAATAAAGTCACTGTAACGGAGAACATCTAAAGTGGCCTTATTATTCTTTTCAGACCCCAGACGTGTTAAGCTCCGAGGCCCCTAAGTTTACCGCGTGTTTTCAGACCACCATCCTGCAATGGATTCCATTCATCTGGATTTGTCTGGCACTTCCGGTCTATGTTGTCGTCATCTTTCGACGTCCACCGGAAGTTCGCTTGCCTTTGACCTCCTTCAGCATAGCAAAATCGGTTTGGTCTATTTTTAATATTCAAACGAAATATTATTTAAGTGAGTTTAGGGGAGCTATCTGTCATTTCTTTGAAGAGATCCTTTCATAATTTTTGATTACATTTTGTAAATTGTTGGGTAAAGAAAGCCAACGTTAGCCTAGCAATTTGCATGTTTGCAATATCGTTATTTGTAATCGTCTTTTACTTTACTTGGTTAAAACGTTTTCGGAATGTATGGTGAGACAAAATCAGATTGAGGGTTGTTGCTGTTGTTGTTGTTGTAAAATAAATAAAAAACTCAAAGCAAAATAAATAATTTGCTGTTCGGAGCAGCTTTGATAAAAGTATCACCCGTCCGCGTCAACTTAAGTTTTTTACTTTATATGACAAACAGATTGAGATGAAGAGCTGTTTGGTCCTAATGTCTTCAGATAACATTTATAGGAGTGATTTACACATTATAGGTGTTTACGTCAATCCTCACCAAATATTTGTACAATGTTTGTTGTAACTGAACACCGTTTTGTTTCCAAATCTTAATATCTAAATACTTACAGGTTCTTTGCCTCGCCTTGGTGATATTGACCATTGCGCAGGCGCTGTCAGTGAATCGAAACGGACCTGGCTGTGAGCAACGAAACGTGACGAGTACCTCATATTACCTCGGCTACGGGTTAACCTCTGTCTCGTTGGTTAGTATATGGACATGTTGTTCGTGATCTTGCTTATATTATACTCCGCACCCTGCCTCAGTCGTGTCCTTGGTTTTGTATTTCTATTACAGCAAATCATAATGATGGTCTTAACTGGTCTATAGATTATTTCAAAATTGATCGTTTCTCGGTTTAGGAAAATAAGAATAAAAACACACAAACTATTTTCATAATTATTCACATAATTAGCTACTTTTCTGAAGAATTTCCTAAATTTTGTTTTATTCTGATTCAATATTCAATATTGTATAAAAGAGTGATGGTCTCGGGGTTTGGGTGGGGGTCATTTTTATTGTTTATGTTATCAAAGTGACACAACAAGAGAAATTAGACAAATAAACATACGTCACAACTTCTATTGTAGATAATAGACAGAGAGTATAGTAAATATTAGATAATAGACAGAGAGTATAGTAAATATAAGATAACAGACAGAGAGTATAGTAAATGTAAGATAATAGACAGAGAGTATAGTAAATATAAGATAATAGACAGAGAGTATAGTAAATATAAGATAATAGACATAGTAAATATAGTAAATATAAGATAATAGACAGAGAGAAATCAAGCTTGTTCACGATGCACTTGTCCATCATAAACTTTTCGCTGGTGCTAAGGGGCTCAAGGGCGGATATCAAAACAGGTCTTAACTACAGTTGAAACACAAGGGGAGGTGCGTTAAGTTTAAAATATATACTTTATTTTTTACCAATATTTAGGAAAAATACTCTATGGAAGCCCACGTTTACGCCAAGGTGACCCGATGCCTTTTACTTCTGAGCGTAGTCTCGTTAAACCAGACGCTTGATCACTTGTAATTCCCTTCTCGGCGTAGCTAGCGCAGACAACAAGAGTCTGGTTGAACGAGACTAGTCTGATCGGAGAATCGTCTTGGTAAACGGCGAATGCGCTATCCGCTGAGCCAATCATCCATCAATGATGTTTCTGCACTTTTTTATTTTTCTATTGTTGTGTCAGGTGATTGTGGGAGTATTTATACAGTTGGTGCGGCGATGGGGCGTCATCAGTTCGGCAGTTATCTACGCCTATTGGATACTGTTACTAGTGTGTAGTATTATACCACTCCAGTCAACGCTCTCATACGAGGTAAGTAATTAGTTCGGCTGTTACATACCTCTCAAGTCAGCATGGTCACGCGAGTTAATAGATACACAGATACCGTTAACAGTTCGGCAGCTATCCACGACTTTTGGTTAATTGCTGCTTGATTCTACAATAGTCATTGTAATTCTACATATGTGGACTATATACGTATCTAATTCTTGTTTTGTTGCCAGCTGTTCTGTTCCAATAGTAACGTGGTCTATCACATCTTCTACTTCGTCATGATACTGGTCCAGACCATTCTACACAGCTTCGCGGACAAGCGTTCCAGCAGGGACTATGAAAACCAGGTACATATAAATAGAGTAACTGTAAGCTAATAAATTTATGACTTGCCTAACGGGATAGGATTGTTTTGGCTTTAATTGACAAGTAAGGACGATTCCAAATACAAATATCTCTCGAATGTTTTGGGCTAATATCTATGTGCGTGTGGATGTTGTTGTACTGTTCACAACATGAAATTTCCGCTAAAAAATCTTAATAATATCGTGAACATATGTTTTTGTGAAGTTTTTAATGCTCTAAAACTGACATTAGGATTACTACATCACCACACATCAACATAAACATCATCTAGGTAAGTACTGCAAAATTTGTATTTAGTGGACGACACAGATTTTGTTACGAATACATGGAAAATAGCAAGTGATCATTTGTTGGTGATTGACACAATAGCGGAGTTATTTTCATTTTCGAATTACGTAAATATCAACTACTGTTTCTGTGTCTAAACGAATTTCGTGTTAATAAGATACGAATCAAACATCTCATACATAAATACGTTAATAAGGTTACTATCGTACTGTATCTTACATTGCCTTACAATTTGAATACTTCAAAGGATATGAAACTCATACAAAACCAAATGCTCTGAAATAATTTGGAGAGTTTTCAATGATGGTAGATATTAGCTTAAAGTTGAAAAAGAAAACCATATCCCTGAACATTTTCTTCAGGTTGGTAAGTATTGATTGTGAAAAGAGTCTTGTAGCACAACCAGTAGTCTTTCTATGTGACGTTTCGATGACTAGTTCGGTACGATGAAGGTGATAGAGTACATACCGTACTAGTAATCGAAACGTCACATAGAAAGACTATTGATTGTGGAAAGAGTCATGTAACACAACCAGTAGTCTTTCTATGTGACGTTTCGATGACTAGTTCGGTACGATGAAGGTGATAGAGTACATACCGTACTAGTCATCGAAACGGCACATAGAAAGACTTATTGACTGTGTTTCATGAATCTTTTCACAAGAAAATCAAATTCCCTTTAAATGCGTAGTGATGCTAAACTTCAATAAGTATAACACATTTCCAAAAACATTTGATTATGTTTCAGCAACGATGCCCCGATGTTGACGTATCATCATTATCAAATCTCGTGTACGCCTGGATGACGCCGTAAGACAATCGCTTCCTCCTGAAAATGAATGTCGCATATTATATAAATATAAGTGTATGACAACACCGCAATATAAACTTAATAAATATAACTCTTATATCAACAATTAACGTTATGTCCAGATTTATGACGTCATCATTCTTTTTTCCTTCATAATTGTAATGTTAAATACCTTTGACCCTTAATGGGAGTCGTCTATGTTCTGTACATTTAACAAGAATGTAACATACAAACATTGAATTTGAATATTTTTTATGATACAATTCTAAAATGATAAAGGCAAGTAGAAAACTGTTTGATGTGGGATTTCCAATCATTATGCATGCCAAATTTGAAACTTTGAAATATAACCTTTTGTGCATGGAATTTGTCATTTCCTGGAATTAGTAACATGAACGATAATTGTAAGCAATTAAATATATATATATATAATTTAATTTAATAAATGTTCTGCTCTCATTCACTAATGATGTATCACATACATTTAGTAAGGATGAATCGAAAATGTTATCTTAACATAAAAAAAGAAAAGAGAGAAAAAATATTATTTTCTGAAAATAAGTATGATTTGAAAGAAGAAATACTCCTTGAACAAAAGCACATCAATTAACCCATATCTAACTCCTCCTAAAGAAATAATTTCATTAAAATACAGGTTTGCCTTTCAGCTTATATTTCAAGAAAAATGTCATGTTAGCATTTCGTTTTGAAATCATTGTTTGCATCCCAATCCTTGCATGACCTCCGAACATTAATTCACTATTCATTCACTAAATGGGCAAGGTATTGGCACAGAGTAAGCGAACATTTAAAACCAAAGAGAAAACAAATAAAAAAACAAATCTTTGTAAACTCGTCTTTTTTTGCATTTTTACAAATATTTAGAAAACTATGTTTTTCAACTTACATTTTAGTGCGATAGCACTATAAAGTCGGCATCAGATCCGCGTCAACTTATCTGACCAATGATTTACTTTTTAATATAAATAGCACAGTCATCAAAGCTTACAAAAAGAAGATAGCGATATACGACCTTTGGACCCAGTCGGAAAGGCTTAAATGTAACAACACCGTGAGCGAACTCCAGTTGACTTGGAACAAAGAGTTAAGGAGACTGATAAACTTGCATAGGTAACGTATTGTAATTGGTTTGCTAATTTTAAGGTAAATTGTGACCCTACACAATATACCCTGTACCTGTGTAAGAGTTATCTACTGTAAGCAAAATTTAATACACATTACTTTATCATTCGGTGTTACCAATAAATACATTCTTGTGTACCTTTGATTTTATTCATCAGGTCATTTGTTCCTTTAAATCTGTCATCAGTTCGTGTGTACCCTTGAATTTGTTATCAGTTCTTGTGTATTTTTACATTGATCGTTTGCTTTTTTATAAAAATTTCCGCCTTCAACAGCACTTAACTCTTCATTACAATAAATTGAAGGGTAACTTTACATTCTTGCATTTTTTGGGCTTTTGTAACCATTGGATATCTAAGTGGACATTATCAAGCTTAGAGGAAGTGAGCATTTTTCTGAATTTGTTAATAAATGTTTTAAAGTATTTATCAAAAAGGCTTAAGAGTCTAGACTAGTCGGTCTAGATACGCTGAGCTACTTTTAAATGTGTTTTGCGTAAAAAGTAAAATATCGAGACAGATAATTAGCTTTAGCATGTGACTATCTTATACAGCTTTAGTATTAGTTTCCCTAAATGGATCTTCATACACTAAAGTTACATCATCTCGTTTTATCTGTTCAAACTTACAAAATGAACGATTCCTCTACATGTCTACTTTTCTTTGGTACGATATTTGAAATGCCATGCTATATTGTGACATATCTGATAAAGTCTAAATTTTGATAATTTAATAATGAATTAGACTGGAAACATCGAAGTTGAATAGAAACGGATATTGTACAGTATCCATACGCAACAAATCACCTTAGCATCGAAGAGAAATTGATTCAGTACAATATAAATACACAACAATTAAACCTTGTTCTATTATGTAGAAGCTTGGTATTTCTTTTAAACATCTATAATGAAGTGAAAGTGAATGTAAAACGCATTTATTTTCATCCTTGATGTTATATAATATCAGTCACAATATGTCCGATGTATATCGTGTTGATTTTTGGGCCACCTAAATTTGAAAGTCTTTAGTATATTTATTGCTGTGTTTCAGGCAAAATAAAAGGACAAAAATACAGACTCACCAAAATGGCAGCTCCCACAATGGTCATGTGATGGGAGAAGAAACGCCATTGTTGGCATCAGGATCTTCCAGGAAAAGTCACCATTTGCTGGAAGACGACGAGAGTTTGCCCCTGAAGCCTTCCCTGTATAGAACATTGATTAAAACGTACGGTCTGCTCTGGTTACAATGCAACTTAATGAAGGTCGTATCCGATCTCTGTCTCCTGTCACAGCCTATACTAATCAAGTAAGTATAGAATTAGCTTATTTAAGCACAATCTTTTATAAATTTCTACAAATGGCCGTATTGGCGTGAATTTAATCATCACAATAATAATGAAAGGTAAGATCAAATGCAGACAAATATTAGATAAGTGATTAGTTTAATTGAATAATAAAGAATTGCATAATGATCTCCGTGCCTCTGCCAAAAAACTATAAATGTGCATTAGCAGCTTTTATTTCTTGCTGGACTCCGGTATTGATACATCACTTCTACAAAGAAAACCACAGATTCCCAAAAAAAGAAATGGTGAAAAATAAGAAATGAAAAATGAAAAATAAAATAGTGTCTTTGGTGTGAAAAAAACACAACGGGGCAACACCAGGATTTGAACACTCAACTATTTTTATTGTCGCTCTTTCCAACTGAGCTATCTGGTAGATGTATTACCATGCCCACTCACGCTACAGTAATATCCACAACGATATCAAGGTGAGGTTTCTGCAAGACCGATACACTAGATGGATTTTATCAACAGTGGGGCGAGGATCGTTAAAGGCAAATTACGAGTTAACATTCATTTCATTTTGCAATAGTGTTGCGAACATTCAACCCTGCAGGTCGAGGCTTTAGTGAAGAGTATTCCTGTACATGTATGTAAGAGGCGGCTACCCCCTGCACAGTTTGGGGTTTTTATTCTTCAACCTTTACTTTTCGATACGAAAGAGAGCAAAATAATACCAATTGCAACTTTTGATATTTTCATATTGGCAATGCCGTTTTCCTTTCCCCCGAATGTTCATAAGCAGCTTGTGTTTGAATGCAATATTGTGGGTAAGAATGTACGTGTGAGTGTGTATTTACGTGTGAGTGTGTATGTACGTGTGAGTGTGTTATGTACGTGTGAGTGTGTTATGCACGTGTGAGTGTGTTTTGTACGTGTGAGTGTGTATGTACCCCGATTAGGGCTTAATTTCCTGAAATTGTTGCATGGGTTTTGCGTATGTGTTGCATATCGATGTTGACAAAAGACTTCTCATTAAAACATGATGTATTGTCCCAGGTATATAGTGCTCTACGTCGGGAACAGAGGAAAACCGGGATACCCGGTCTGGAATGGCGTACTGTTGGCATTCCTGTTCTTTGCGGCCTCACAAGCCAACACCTTTATATATAACGCGAGTCTACATCTGGTTCTTACCCTCGCTCTCAGGGTTAAAAGTGCTTTGGTCGGAACTATTTATAGAAAGGTAAACAACATGCTTTATATTAGTTATTAACCGTATAACAGATAATCATATATAGCGATTTTGTATGCTATATATATATACTGTTTTAATTTATTTAGTGATAGTAGTATGTCTTTATTTATTTGTTAGTTTTTTGTTCGATTTTGAAAATAGTACAATAATAATGTTGTCTTAATGAATATGGAAATACAAGTTGAACCGGAAGCATTTAAAAGATTTGTTGACTTTTTCACGAATACAAAAACATTTGAGGAATTGTTATTTTCATTCACCCATTTTTCTGTTTTCATTTGAGGCATTGAAGATGGGAAACACTGTTAAAAGGGACTACACCGTTGGCCAAATAGTGAACCTGATGTCTGTAGATTGTCAGCGAATACAGGATTCCGTTATATTCTTCAACTACATGATACCGTTCGTCACGTCCCTGGCTGTCAGTCTGTATGAAATATGGGACGCTGTCAACGAAAGCATCGTTTACTGTCTCATAGTGGCTGTTATATTCATATCACTGAATATAATCTTTGGTCGATTTCAACAGAGGTATCAAATAGGGCTGATGCAAAGCAAGAGCTCAAGGATGAAATTGTTCAACGAAGTTTTAGGAGGGATAAAGGTACCTCGAAATAACAGATTATATACAATCATAACTACAACAAACACGACGTAAGGAAGAAGTAGCTAAACCTAATGTTCCCGATGTAGAAAGATAAGCAAACATTTGTCTACATAGGGCCATTTCGTCCATTTTAAACTCATCAGTACAACTAAATGTTAAACAAGAGAAAACCTGCGAACTTGTAAATAACTTAGTGTAATCTAGTTTGTTATTTTAGAAAACAATAAATATATCATCACTCCACGCTTTATAACTAGTGACCGAAAAATCTTTGGCGCAAATATTGATTGATCACAATTGTGATGAAACGTTTATTAGCCATTTTCGGTGGACTGCTGGTGTTATAATAATATGTGCCACCAGAATGTTTTGCCATATGAAAAAAAACACTGTATATATTAAACAGTTTTATTACATACTTACTAATAAATACGGGTTTTTTGTATATGCGATACAACACAATTGCTCTACCTCGTATCACCCCCCGCCGTATCACACCGTAAAACCCGTATCACACCCCTTTTGGATTTTTTTTTTTTTTTCAATATTGTAAAAGAAAAATAGACCATAAATATATATTTTTATTAATAAGTATGTTATAAACAGAATAAAACACGTCTTTTTCCATATCACACCCAGTAACAATCCTCGACAAATATCAGCCCTAGCATCATGCCAGTTTCTTTTCGTTGAACAATAGGCGAAAAATATTAATCTGATATGTTTTCATCCTCACACAGGTACTGAAGATGTATGCCTGGGAGAGCATATTTGGTAAAAAGCTGTTGAGCATAAGGGAAAAAGAACTTGGGTTCCTAAGGAAGTACGCAGTTGTAACCTCATTTACCGTGACTCTCTCTACACAGAGTCCTTTCCTAGTAAGTGTTCTTTCATTTTTCCTTATTTACCACTGAAAACCTTGCTTGTTAATTCATTATTAAATTTTCGAATTACTTAAAAAAAAAAAAAAAAATGTCGTCGAAAGAAAATGGTTTTGTAACTACCCTATGATCAGTCGAATGCAACGTAAATAGAAAAGAAATAAACCTGGATTAGAAAATCCTAGAATGACACATATTTTCAAAAGTATTTGTTTTAGTCCATCCCACTTCTATCCTCATAAATATAGAAAGGTAAATGACCGATATTGATTTAAACTGGTCCGTGTCTTAGTGTTGTGTTATTTGTCTCTAGCTGTCCACCGTGGTGTTTCTCGGCTACGTGCTTGCCTTATTGTTGTATTATTTGTCCCTAGCTGTCCACCGTGGTGTTCCTCGGCTACGTGCTTGCCTTATTGTTGTATTATTTGTCCCTAGCTGTCCACCGTGGTGTTTCTCGGCTACGTGCTTGCCTTATTGTTGTATTATTTGTCCCTAGCTGTCCACCGTGGTGTTTCTCGGCTACGTGCTTGCCTTATTGTTGTATTATTTGTCCCTAGCTGTCCACCGTGGTGTTTCTCGGCTACGTGCTTGCCTTATTGTTGTATTATTTGTCCCTAGCTGTCCACCGTGGTGTTTCTCGGCTACGTGCTTGCCTTATTGTTGTATTATTTGTCCCTAGCTGTCCACCGTGGTGTTTCTCGGCTACGTGCTTGCCTTATTGTTGTATTATTTGTCCCTAGCTGTCCACCGTGGTGTTTCTCGGCTACGTGCTTGCCTTATTGTTGTATTATTTGTCCCTAGCTGTCCACCGTGGTGTTTCTCGGCTACGTGCTTGCCTTATTGTTGTATTATTTGTCCCTAGCTGTCCACCGTGGTGTTTCTCGGCTACGTGCTTGCCTTATTGTTGTATTATTTGTCCCTAGCTGTCCACCGTGGTGTTTCTCGGCTACGTGCTTGCCTTATTGTTGTATTATTTGTCCCTAGCTGTCCACCGTGGTGTTTCTCGGCTACGTGCTTGCCTTATTGTTGTATTATTTGTCCCTAGCTGTCCACCGTGGTGTTTCTCGGCTACGTGCTTGCCTTATTGTTGTATTATTTGTCCCTAGCTGTCCACCGTGGTGTTTCTCGGCTACGTGCTTGCCTTATTGTTGTATTATTTGTCCCTAGCTGTCCACCGTGGTGTTTCTCGGCTACGTGCTTGCCTTATTGTTGTATTATTTGTCCCTAGCTGTCCACCGTGGTGTTTCTCGGCTACGTGCTTGCCTTATTGTTGTATTATTTGTCCCTAGCTGTCCACCGTGGTGTTTCTCGGCTACGTGCTTGCCTTATTGTTGTATTATTTGTCCCTAGCTGTCCACCGTGGTGTTTCTCGGCTACGTGCTTGCCTTATTGTTGTATTATTTGTCCCTAGCTGTCCACCGTGGTGTTTCTCGGCTACGTGCTTGCCTTATTGTTGTATTATTTGTCCCTAGCTGTCCACCGTGGTGTTTCTCGGCTACGTGCTTGCCTTATTGTTGTATTATTTGTCCCTAGCTGTCCACCGTGGTGTTTCTCGGCTACGTGCTTGCCTTATTGTTGTATTATTTGTCCCTAGCTGTCCACCGTGGTGTTTCTCGGCTACGTGCTTGCCTTATTGTTGTATTATTTGTCCCTAGCTGTCCACCGTGGTGTTTCTCGGCTACGTGCTTGCCTTATTGTTGTATTATTTGTCCCTAGCTGTCCACCGTGGTGTTTCTCGGCTACGTGCTTGCCTTATTGTTGTATTATTTGTCCCTAGCTGTCCACCGTGGTGTTTCTCGGCTACGTGCTTGCCTTATTGTTGTATTATTTGTCCCTAGCTGTCCACCGTGGTGTTTCTCGGCTACGTGCTTGCCTTATTGTTGTATTATTTGTCCCTAGCTGTCCACCGTGGTGTTTCTCGGCTACGTGCTTGCCTTATTGTTGTATTATTTGTCCCTAGCTGTCCACCGTGGTGTTTCTCGGCTACGTGCTTGCCTTATTGTTGTATTATTTGTCCCTAGCTGTCCACCGTGGTGTTTCTCGGCTACGTGCTTGCCTTATTGTTGTATTATTTGTCCCTAGCTGTCCACCGTGGTGTTTCTCGGCTACGTGCTTGCCTTATTGTTGTATTATTTGTCCCTAGCTGTCCACCGTGGTGTTTCTCGGCTACGTGCTTGCCTTATTGTTGTATTATTTGTCCCTAGCTGTCCACCGTGGTGTTTCTCGGCTACGTGCTTGCCTTATTGTTGTATTATTTGTCCCTAGCTGTCCACCGTGGTGTTTCTCGGCTACGTGCTTGCCTTATTGTTGTATTATTTGTCCCTAGCTGTCCACCGTGGTGTTTCTCGGCTACGTGCTTGCCTTATTGTTGTATTATTTGTCCCTAGCTGTCCACCGTGGTGTTTCTCGGCTACGTGCTTGCCTTATTGTTGTATTATTTGTCCCTAGCTGTCCACCGTGGTGTTTCTCGGCTACGTGCTTGCCTTATTGTTGTATTATTTGTCCCTAGCTGTCCACCGTGGTGTTTCTCGGCTACGTGCTTGCCTTATTGTTGTATTATTTGTCCCTAGCTGTCCACCGTGGTGTTTCTCGGCTACGTGCTTGCCTTATTGTTGTATTATTTGTCCCTAGCTGTCCACCGTGGTGTTTCTCGGCTACGTGCTTGCCTTATTGTTGTATTATTTGTCCCTAGCTGTCCACCGTGGTGTTTCTCGGCTACGTGCTTGCCTTATTGTTGTATTATTTGTCCCTAGCTGTCCACCGTGGTGTTTCTCGGCTACGTGCTTGCCTTATTGTTGTATTATTTGTCCCTAGCTGTCCACCGTGGTGTTTCTCGGCTACGTGCTTGCCTTATTGTTGTATTATTTGTCCCTAGCTGTCCACCGTGGTGTTTCTCGGCTACGTGCTTGCCTTATTGTTGTATTATTTGTCCCTAGCTGTCCACCGTGGTGTTTCTCGGCTACGTGCTTGCCTTATTGTTGTATTATTTGTCCCTAGCTGTCCACCGTGGTGTTTCTCGGCTACGTGCTTGCCTTATTGTTGTATTATTTGTCCCTAGCTGTCCACCGTGGTGTTTCTCGGCTACGTGCTTGCCTTATTGTTGTATTATTTGTCCCTAGCTGTCCACCGTGGTGTTTCTCGGCTACGTGCTTGCCTTATTGTTGTATTATTTGTCCCTAGCTGTCCACCGTGGTGTTTCTCGGCTACGTGCTTGCCTTATTGTTGTATTATTTGTCCCTAGCTGTCCACCGTGGTGTTTCTCGGCTACGTGCTTGCCTTATTGTTGTATTATTTGTCCCTAGCTGTCCACCGTGGTGTTTCTCGGCTACGTGCTTGCCTTATTGTTGTATTATTTGTCCCTAGCTGTCCACCGTGGTGTTTCTCGGCTACGTGCTTGCCTTATTGTTGTATTATTTGTCCCTAGCTGTCCACCGTGGTGTTTCTCGGCTACGTGCTTGCCTTATTGTTGTATTATTTGTCCCTAGCTGTCCACCGTGGTGTTTCTCGGCTACGTGCTTGCCTTATTGTTGTATTATTTGTCCCTAGCTGTCCACCGTGGTGTTTCTCGGCTACGTGCTTGCCTTATTGTTGTATTATTTGTCCCTAGCTGTCCACCGTGGTGTTTCTCGGCTACGTGCTTGCCTTATTGTTGTATTATTTGTCCCTAGCTGTCCACCGTGGTGTTTCTCGGCTACGTGCTTGCCTTATTGTTGTATTATTTGTCCCTAGCTGTCCACCGTGGTGTTTCTCGGCTACGTGCTTGCCTTATTGTTGTATTATTTGTCCCTAGCTGTCCACCGTGGTGTTTCTCGGCTACGTGCTTGCCTTATTGTTGTATTATTTGTCCCTAGCTGTCCACCGTGGTGTTTCTCGGCTACGTGCTTGCCTTATTGTTGTATTATTTGTCCCTAGCTGTCCACCGTGGTGTTTCTCGGCTACGTGCTTGCCTTATTGTTGTATTATTTGTCCCTAGCTGTCCACCGTGGTGTTTCTCGGCTACGTGCTTGCCTTATTGTTGTATTATTTGTCCCTAGCTGTCCACCGTGGTGTTTCTCGGCTACGTGCTTGCCTTATTGTTGTATTATTTGTCCCTAGCTGTCCACCGTGGTGTTTCTCGGCTACGTGCTTGCCTTATTGTTGTATTATTTGTCCCTAGCTGTCCACCGTGGTGTTTCTCGGCTACGTGCTTGCCTTATTGTTGTATTATTTGTCCCTAGCTGTCCACCGTGGTGTTTCTCGGCTACGTGCTTGCCTTATTGTTGTATTATTTGTCCCTAGCTGTCCACCGTGGTGTTTCTCGGCTACGTGCTTGCCTTATTGTTGTATTATTTGTCCCTAGCTGTCCACCGTGGTGTTTCTCGGCTACGTGCTTGCCTTATTGTTGTATTATTTGTCCCTAGCTGTCCACCGTGGTGTTTCTCGGCTACGTGCTTGCCTTATTGTTGTATTATTTGTCCCTAGCTGTCCACCGTGGTGTTTCTCGGCTACGTGCTTGCCTTATTGTTGTATTATTTGTCCCTAGCTGTCCACCGTGGTGTTTCTCGGCTACGTGCTTGCCTTATTGTTGTATTATTTGTCCCTAGCTGTCCACCGTGGTGTTTCTCGGCTACGTGCTTGCCTTATTGTTGTATTATTTGTCCCTAGCTGTCCACCGTGGTGTTTCTCGGCTACGTGCTTGCCTTATTGTTGTATTATTTGTCCCTAGCTGTCCACCGTGGTGTTTCTCGGCTACGTGCTTACCTTATTGTTGTATTATTTGTCCCTAGCTGTCCACCGTGGTGTTTCTCGGCTACGTGCTTACCTTATTGTTGTATTATTTGTCCCTAGCTGTCCACCGTGGTGTTTCTCGGCTACGTGCTTGCCTTATTGTTGTATTATTTGTCCCTAGCTGTCCACCGTGGTGTTTCTCGGCTACGTGCTTACCTTATTGTTGTATTATTTGTCCCGAGCTGTCCACCGTGGTGTTTCTCGGTTACATGCTTGCCTTATTGTTGTATAATTTGTCCCTAGCTGTCCACCGTGGTGTTTCTCGGCTACGTGCTTGCCAAGCCGTCTCAGTATTTGGACGCCGCTACAGCATTCCAGGTCGTATCTGTGGTCAACTTTTTGCGCTACCCCATCTCCTTCGTACCCTACGTCATAACGGCCATTATACAGGTAACTTAGGTAGCTTTAAAAATTTGTAGCATAGAGGTCATACATTTCATTTGACCTTTATTTACATTACGGTTGTCGTCGGTGACAAAGATGACGCCTTCCATTCTGATACACCTGGTCTAATTAGTCTTGTACTTTTTCAAGGGGCCGCATTTATATCTTTGTTTGCTCATATTTTGCCCTAGATTTACCGATTTCGAATCATATTGTATGATTCTTGACACTTCGGTATTATCTTGATTTTGTATCTGTTACACACGGGAATGTAATATAATAACGAGGTTATGTATTTGACTTAGATGTGATATGTAAATCCTATCGGTTATATATGTACAATGTATAGGTATCGTGTAAGAAATATGTATTTTGCATAAATATAGTATATCTATATAAAATACAAGTAACACATGCAACTATGTAGTACATGAACTATACTGGTTTAAACATACAGGTTATAAATATATATATAGCATACAGGTTATAAATATATATATGATCAGTAACTTACATTTGTTAATCATGAGGGTAATATATATACAGGTAATATATATACAATAAAGGGAGAACATATGTAACTAAAATGCAAATAATATGAATCAAACAAGTATTTAATATAACGCACCGGTAATATCATGCAGGTAGCGTATGTAACTCAAAAGTAATATGTAATACATATAGGTTAGATAATGAGCCAACAGGTAATATAAAAATAAAACACACAAGTAATATAATATGAATACAGGTAATATTTAATATGCCGGTAATATATGTTACATGAACGTAATATATCTACATACACATTGATGTACCATTGAGTGTTATATGTAACATATTGTTTATCTATTTAGAGTCTGTAGCGTACAGGTAATTAATTATATAACATACCCTTATATTGTAGAGTCGGGTTTCCGTGGGAAGAATACAACAGTTCCTATGGAGCGAGGATCTCAATACCGATACTGTCCATCGCGTGACTGAAGCGGGTACATACAAACACTTATAAATAACCTAATTACTAGAAATACGGCGTAAGGAAACAACTGTTTAAAAATAAGTGTATCGGTGTAGAAAATCAGTGTTCTTATTTTACCTTTTCTGTTGATGTCAAACGTCTTTTTCTTGATTCTCTGTGTATTCATGATATCAAACTTCTTTTCTAATTCTCTGTGTATTCATAATGTCAATCTTTTTTCTAATTCTCTGTGTATTCATAATATCAAACTTTTTCTAATTCTCTGTGTATTCATAATGTCAAACTTTTTCTTATTCTCTGTGTATTCATGATGTCAAACTTTTTCATATTTTTCCTGTTACGTTGTGTATTGATTACACCATACACCTTTCTTTTACGTTAAGAATGACTATGAATATGAAACATACTTATTTTAAGTAAATATAAATTTAACATTTCATCCTGCTGAGATTGGTACTGTCTGTATTGTTTTATCACATAGTCCATGCCGTTTCTGTCGAGAATGCCTCTTTCACTTGGGATCCGGAGTTACCAATACAAACTCTACGCAGGTAAGTGAAAACTCGCTCTAACACGGCAGCAAACGTCCGGCTAGAGATGTTCCTATCGATTATATAATACAGGTACATTGCTTAAATTATAGCTTTCCTCGGAAGAAGGATTAACTCTTATAGACGTACTACGATTAAATTATAGCTTTTCTTTAGAAAAAGGGTAGACTCTGTTGCAGGTTTAAGGCTAAGATACATTTTTTTTCTTCAGAAAAGGGGTGTATGCTCTCATACAGATGCAATGTTCAAATAAAAGTTTTCTTCAGAGAAACAAGTATATCATAGGAGTGCCATTACGCGAATTACATTTTTGTCTATTTCATAAATCAGAGAGGTCATTTTACATGAACGATATAAAAATATAACGATACAACAACACCACATAACTATTCCGGATATAGGATACAGTAAACCATAGTGGTTCGGTTAATATTTCAAAGAATAACTAGCATGATTTATAAATAAATTGATCTTCGAATATTTGTGATTGCCATTTGAAATATAATTAACGCTGTATCTGTGTGATTTTGTTTCAGTATTAATGTAAATATCGATGACGGACAGTTAGTGGCCGTGGTTGGCCTCGTCGGGGCTGGTAAATCGTCCCTCCTGGCTGCACTGCTCGGAGAGATGGCTAGGACACAAGGCCGCGTCACACTGAAGGTAGTAAAATGTCCTGATACAATTAGATGTGTGATAATCCGGACAACGTTTATTTGTATTTTACATGAACAAATTCTTAACATCTGAACAACCTTTGTCTATAGTGCGTACAGCGACTGCATCTTTCAGGCGCACAAAAAACAAAAACAACTAACACACATTTCTTGTCTGCCTCGGTGAATACATTTTCCAAATATATATCTTTTTTAACTGTAAATATTTCAATGTTTAAACAAATACAGAGAATACGGCGATACATTATAACTAAATAGCATATAAACTTTCATCCCAATTTAACATGTAGACTACAATTTATTGTATTACAGCAATTCTATATTAGAATTTGAACGTAATCGTAGGAGCTTAAAGGATTCATGCTTAATGCTATGGATGTTACAAAAACCAATTTGTAAGACTTTTTTTTAAATATTTCAAATTGAAATCAATTGTATTTATACCTATTAATGACTTCATCAGGGCACCACGGCGTACGTGCCCCAGGAGGCGTGGATACAGAATATGACGCTAAAGGATAACATCCTGTATGGTAGTCAGTTCCGGACCAGACGCTACCGGAAGGTCATTAAAGCGTGTCAGCTGACCCCTGACCTCGCCATACTCTCGGCTGGGGACCAGACTGAAATAGGACAGAGGGTAAGCTTGTTGTATACTTAACGAAATAAAACTTTGTACTTGAGTACAACGTACAAAAGTAACGTAAATTTGTAAATCACGAACATGATACATTTAAAACTATCAACATTAATAATTTTATGAAAAAAGATAGTACCGTAAATTATATAATTGCTATATCCATTGCCTCTGGAAAGAAAAACTGAAACTTATTTTTTATATTTACTTTATTTAAATCATTAATTTTACATGGTTTTCTTTCATTTGGCAAAGTTAGTCTTTGAAAGTGACGGTTTTGGATACAAATTGCACTTAAAGACCATCGGTAGATGAAAGGCCTTAACAAGTGTATATTAGATGTGCAACGAAATCACGTGATTTATATGCCCTAACTTATTCAGGGCACGATCAACGCAAAAATAAATCTCATCAAAATTTTAGTAAAAACAAGTCCTTCTTGAAATATATATCATCAAACTATTGCTAAAATGTTCCGTTAATATTTTCATGAGCATTGGAATATGATTGAATTTTAACAATGTGTACAGGGTATAAACCTGAGCGGTGGTCAGAAACAGAGGGTTAGTTTAGCCAGAGCAGTGTACAGTAACTCAAATGTCTACCTCCTGGACGATCCTCTCAGCGCAGTGGACAGTCACGTGGGCAAGGCCATATTTGACAAGGTGATCAGTCATGACGGACTTCTGAAAGGAAAGGTAGGAAGCTTATATTAAAATATGTATGCTTTTTTATTATGGACTTTTATTGAGGTGAATAGGTAATTATATGAACCTAAGAAAGTGTTATTGAACAAGACGAAGTCGAGGTCGGTATCACTTTCACGGGTACATACAATCAGATATTCATCGAATGAGAAGCCTTTAATTGTTATATATTAGATGGTAAACAATTAAACAACATGTAACGTATAAATATTGTAATGAAAAGTTTACTGCATTAGGCATACAGCATTATCATGTCACAATTGAAATGACGCCATGAATTAAATTATATCCTGTTGTTTCTTAATAGAGTAACACTTTGTTAATATCACGAACTACTGACCTCCACGTGGTAATGATCAACAAAAGATGATATAAGAAAGGTGTGTGTCATCTAATAGTATGCTGTTATACTTTTACTTTCTCCCCTTGTTCTCATTCGCCAACGATTTATGTATTTTTATGCCATAGTAATTAATTTGCCATATACCACTTTGCCACTGTGTCTACTTTTATAATTCACTTACATTTATTATCATGCAAAAGCTGTAAGGTGCAGTTCAATAAATATTTTGTTTGACTTTCCGCACCTACAAACGAAATGTTCAAACATACGGTTCCTTTATTTTTAATTTTACTGATGTACATTTTTGATATAATTAATTATATAAATATGAATTACTTTCCTATTTCCTTATTATGGATGTGATATCGCATAATTTTAAAAAAGGAGACCATGCCAATGTAATGATGTCGTATACCGCTATGGTTGGTGTGCTGTTAGTTTTTTCTAACTTCTGATTAGTTGTAGCTCACCGGCGGTGAAATAATAACGCAGTGTTGTTAAAGCCTTGTTTTGATTTTATAAGAAATTATTAAATATTTAGGAACTTTAAACTTAAAAGTATTGTCTGTCGTTCAACACGTGCTGTGTGTTGCAGCCCAGACCTAATCCTGATTCCAGTATCTGTGCTCATTAGTGCTATACTATTCCTTTATTATCTCATTTTTATATCAATCTTAGCATTCAATGCTTTTTTTTTCAAAATTAATGTATTCGTTTAAGACAAACTATGAAAAAGGATTAAATGAGTTACTTACGTATCAGTACAGTATGCGAACTGAGCTACATAGCTGTATAACCCTTTAATAGCCTATCGACTTATTCCGAACTGATATTTTGAGCTATTTTCATGTCATTTTATTTTTAAAGAAGTTAAGTGAACATTTTAACATTATTGTATTACAAAAGACACCAAATCAAATTTGTCTTTTGAAAAGAATTTGATGGTAAAAAAATAATCAGAAAATTTGCAATACATGGTGGATATAGCAATATAGGTCGTTTACAGCTATGCGATGTTCAGTTGGCGAGTATACTGGACCTGACATACTTTGTTTGATGACAAAACTTTTTTTCTTTAAGAAATGAAAAATGTATGTAATTCAGCCAAACGCAATTTGCATTGTAGTCTAATTATGGCATTGTGACATATGCCATTCAATTTTTACTTTAAATGCGTGAACTTGGCAACATAACCTCTCCATAGGTGTATACACTTGGGTGATTAATTAGTAACATAACAAAATAGAAATGATAACAGAAATATCCTTACGGTTAAAATCAGAATTATCGGCCCTTTATGAGCAACATTTTTGCCATTGCCTATCTTTTCAAATGTTAGACATGTGGATTATATGACAATTATTCATTGAAAATGTAAACTATCATCATTTAGTATATTCTAGGATGGTTTGATTGATATCCCGATTTTACGTGCTGTTTTACAATAGACTCGAGTTCTTGTCACCCACGGCATTCACTGGCTACCGAAGGTAGACAAAATCATAGTTATGGACAATGGACGGATCACCGAGATGGGGAGCTATGATCAGTTGCTGGAGAATAATGGCGCCTTCTCCCGGTTTCTGAATACCTACTTACTTAAAGGAGATTCGGACGATGACGAGTCAGATGAAGAAGGTACTTGTATATGGGTTATCAAAACGAAACAAAATAATATACAACTTTAGAGGAATATCGTACACTTCAATTTAAGGTTATATCCTTTCATTATACTTGTGATTTAGTTAAGGTTATCTATCGTATACGTTATACATGTGATGTGTGTTAGAGTTATCTACCTCACAATCTATATCTACAACCTTAAGTTATGATTTTTGTTTGAGTTATTTCCCTTACACCTCATACCTGAGATATGTGTAAGAGTTAACTCCCTTCATTAGTTTTTGTTAAAGCATTGTGTAATATTAAGAAATAACTTGAATTCAATTTAGGTATAAACATGTTTCATCCATTAAATAACAAATCAAAACAAATAACCAGTCGCTATGCAATTTATAATCATGATCACATATATGCAACTATTTTGGAGACTGAATGTTAACGTGAGATATCATTCCTACGATACAGAATTCATTCTCGTGTCTAGCTCAGTGTATCAAACACAATCACAATGAACTATATATATATATTCATTCAAATTACCCTATTGAAGCTATGCATGTGTATATGTGAACCTAGACGCATGTTCTACGTTAACAAACACCTGTCAATGTTACCTTTACTACAGTAAGGCTGATCAAACAACATATACGCGAGCGTTTTGACCAAGTGACGTCAGACGGTCTGACGTCAGATGATAACATCGTAATGGACGAATTAACGAAAGGATTCGGACACAAGTGAGTGAAGAGATATGCATGATATGTTGTATATTTTTACAATTGCTGAGTTGTGAGAAATGGTTTTAAAAGCATCATTTTCCTTGCGTCTGTATTTTACTGTTGATATGGTGACATGGTTTATGCAGTTGCTTGCACCCTACACACACCAATTATATACATTTATACCAATATTGATTGCGCGCTGAAATCTAGCTGAAATACGGTCAATTCACAGACATACTAGTTTACGGTAACATTATCTGTGATATCCATATGTTGTAAATATGTAACATTACAAAGTACGTTAAAGGCTCCTTTCCCCTGTTGTCGTATTTTTCACATACAATTTTCATTCCTTTGACCTAAAATGCCACTGACCAATCGAAATATACGATATTGTCATATATTGTTGTAAAATGTGTACTTGGTTTGGCTTTCCGTGTGTGAAAACAAGATTTGTAAATAAACCAATCTATTGTGGTTATTGTAGATATTTTTTACTTACAATTGCATTAGAATAAAATTAATATAACTATTTAATTATCTTCAATTAGACTGATCAGTTTGGAAATATGTGATGTCAAATTTTTACTTTCTACAAAAACAATGTACATATTAAAAGTGTGGCAACGTTTCAAGATCGACTGGTCCCTTTGTCATGCTATGACTGAGTGAGCGATTCGTACTTTCTACCTGTACAACGATGTGACGACATTTCATTTTAGTTTATGTCACTCGATCTGGGACGTTTCGCCTATCGATAGGGAGCCTAATATTCACTGCAGCAGATAGGTTTCATCACATCGTTGTACAAATAAAAAATGCAAATCGCTCACTCAGTCATGGCATGACAAAGGGACCAGTCGGTCTTGAAAAGTTGCGACACGTTTAACACGTACATTGCTTGTGTAGAAAGTAAACCTTTGATATAAACATTTAAATATTTGTGTCGGCTGTCTAACTTTATATTCTAGGAAATCCTTGAGGAGGAGGACTATCAGTACTACGTCGGCCGCTACCGTCGAGTCGCTGATGTCCCTTTCACAGTCCTCTCCCAAGTGTGACGAGGAGCAAAGATTTCATTCCGGGCGCCTCATCACGGAAGAAACGACGAAAGAGGGAGTTGTATGTACATTAATCTTACAGTCAACAATAGTACATTTCATATTCAATCATATGATATAAACATTGTTCACTTATCCTTTCGAAACCCCTATCATCCGGTTCCGGTATTGTTTGAACCGTTTCCTGTTGCGTTTGATTTTGTTTGTTTGTCCACGGTTGTCACGCCGGCAATCGTTAAATATTGGACCTACGTCATTTTAATGTGGAGTGTTAGTTCCACTGCAGTTCCATTCACACGTAATAACATATATCAGTATATACATGTAAATGTGGAGTGTTAGTTCCACTACAGTTCCATTAACACGTAATAACATATATCAGTATAGACATGTAAATGTGGAGTGTTAGTTCCACTGCAGTTCCATTCGCACGTAATAACATGTATCAGTATAGACATGAAAATGTGGAGTGTTAGTTCCACTACAGTTCCATTCACACGTAATAACATATATCAGTATAGACATGAAAATGTGGAGTGTTAGTTCCACTGAAGTTCCATTCACACGTAAAAACATATATCAGTATAGACATGTAAATGTGGAGTGTTAGTTCCACTGCAGTTCCATTCACGCGTAAAAACATATATCAGTATAGACATGTAAATGTGGAGGGTTAGTTCCACTGCAGTTCCATTCACACGTAATAAGATATATCAGTATATACATGTAAATGTGGAGTGTTAATTCCACTGCAGTTCCATTCACACGTAATAACATGTATCAGTATAGACATGAAAATGTGGAGTGATAGTTCCACTGCAGTTCCATTCACACGTAAAAACATATATCAGTATAGACATTTAAATGTGGAGTGTTAGTTCCACTGCAGTTCCATTCACGCGTAAAAACATATATCAGTATAGACATGTAAATGTGGAGTGTTAGTTCCACTGCAGTTCCATCCACACGTAAAAACATATATCAGTATAGACATGTAAATGTGGAGTGTTAGTTCCACTACAGTTCCATTCACACGTAATAACATATATCAGTATAGACATGAAAATGTGGAGTGTTAGTTCCACTGCAGTTCCATTCACACGTAATAACATGTATCAGTATAGACATGAAAATGTGGAGTGTTAGTTCCACTGCAGTTCCATTCACACGTAAAAACATATATCAGTATAGACATGTAAATGTGGAGTGTTAGTTCCACTGCAGTTCCATTCACACGTTATAACATATATCAGTATAGACATGTTAATGGGTTAATATTGCGGCCGTCGACTCCTCAGCTTTGTTATTGATTATTCACAAATGTGTACCATACAGTTTCATGGTTTCTACCCGACCCTCGCTATGAGGACATGACATTACTTGAATCTTACTTGCATATTTTCTCATTTTTGCCAAGTGAGTTTGCGAGGTATTTTGACTTTTTTTTTTATTTGAAAAGTCAATTGGCGAGTGTATATTCGCAATATTTATTTTTTACAACTCGACAGGTGAGATTGTACTTTTGCTATATTTACTTTTTTCTACTCAACAGGTGATCTGGCGAGTGTACTTTGGCTACTTTTTTTTCTTGACAGATGAGTTGGCGAGCATACATTGGCTATATCGTTTCTTCTTGGCAGGTCAGATGGCGACTGTGCATTGGCTTTATTTTTTCTTCTTGACAGATGAGTTGGCGAACGTACATTGGCTATATTTGTCTACTTGGCAGGTGAGCTGGCGAGTGTACTTTGGCTATATTTGTCTACTTGACAGGTGAGCTGGCGAGTGTACTTTGGCTATATGAAGGCTATGGGGGTAGGAGCCACTATATTGGCAGTATCCTTATTAGCAGCATCACAAGCTATAGGAGCTTTTCTCAATTTCTGGATCGACTTTTGGACGACAGACGTTGAGATGGACCAGGCAATCAATGTGACTGCCCAAACAAACTCAACCATGGACTATATTCAGGATTTCACAGACAAAAATATCTACTACCTCACAACGTATTTCATCATCGGTTTGGCCCAAGGTAAAAACAGAATTGATCGCTCATTTTTTTGGAACTTTATACTTTGTCAATTTCTTTTGGCAGCGACTTAAGGTTGAAGTCATGTTATGATGATAAGTCACCTGGAAATCCAACCGCCTGATAAGTTATATTCAAGTATACCAATTAAAAATCGGAATTCTCAATTGTAATAACGTTATATCAAATTCTTGCATTAGCTAATAAAATGGTGCATTACGAGGTTAACATAGTCAACACCAAGACATTAGGGCTGATCCAGGTCTTGCTAAAAATATTTCACTGGGCTTGTAATCTTATTTTCGACCCAACAGAATGCTTTAAAATGACATATTATCTAACGTTCATTTATATAGCTAGATCGTGCAGAGCGTACGTTCTCTTCTGCTTGCTGTGGAGCGGCATATGTGAGGAATACATTAACGTTAGATACTATGTCCTAGCGTAGCATCCATGTACAACTCGGTTGCAAAAGAGACTGACATGTATATGTCCGTTGAACTATCGTTATGAACACGTCAGCCTTAAAGCCTTATTACAGATTAATGTAACGTCGCTATATACCATTTGAATAGTAAACGTACAAGTTCAAAATATTTTTGCCAAACACAAAGTACTTGGAAAGTGGTGATCAGTTTTAGGTTAGACAACTTTGAATTTGAAAAGAAATATTCCTATAAGGATATCATGTTAAATTACGTTTGCACATACTTAATTCGTTGAAATATGTTCAATGGACATTTTTTTTTTAAAAGAACCGGATTTACAAGCCATTTTATATTTCCCCTGTCACAGGAATAGCCATGTTCCTGTTCGTGTTCCTGTACCTGTTCCGAATGGTACGCGCGAGCAAATACTTTCACTCCTCCATGCTAGACTGTATACTGCGGTCGCCCATGTCCTTCTACGACACCACGCCCATCGGTAGGGTACTGAACAGGTTCTCCAGTGACCTGGACGTCATAGATGATCGACTTCCACGCACGTTCAGACTTCTCCTGTACTACTTCTCTGTCTTACTTTTGACTTTCATCGTCATCGGAATCCAGACGCCGCAGTTTTTGATAGCTCTCGCACCGGCCGGTGTTCTCTTTATCATCCTTTTGGTACGTACGGTCGTTGACCTTTCCAATAATCATGCAACCGTTCAAATGCTCAAATTCAGATTGTGTGCTTAAGCTCAATCTTTTGTTCAATTGTGTCATTGATTTGGAAGAATGTTGGAGAGGCGAAAAGCCAAATACTATTTTCAAGGTTTACACTTTGGTTTTAACGTGTTATAATTTGAGTGGGTTACAACAAACTTGAACATGAGATCAGTTTCATGAATATGGTGCTTGGTGTTCTCGAAAGTTCATTGATAAGAATATAACTGTTCTTTTGATTCATGTTCAAAACAATCATCTGTCGACTATTTGGTTCAAACGAACCTTAATTACAACAGATATTTGTTAAGAACAATCATTTGTAGCCCTTTTGATTCGCAAAGACACTAAACGTCAAACATTCACTTAAACATAGAAATTGTGTTCGCTTCTCTGGTTGATATTAAACATGTTCAGAAATCTTAGTACACTGCTACTTCCTATATAAGTAATATAAGTAATTTTCAAAAGAATTGAAAAAAATCGTTCAATTAGACTCTTGATTACATATAAGAAAAACATATTTTGATAGTGTTCATTATATGATCATAACGTGGGACATGATATGTCAAAACAATAAATATAATGTACTTTTCAAAGAGGAAGTGTTTACACCATGATAATCATGGTTGTACAGTATGAGATCTGTGAAACAAAATAATACACTCCTATTGTTATCAGCAAATATCGCTTACTTATAAATCTGTTATTTCATTCTCTTACAGAAATTTTATCTACCGACCGCTAGGCAGCTGAAGAGGATAGAATCGGTGACACGGTCTCCCGTTTACAACCACTTCGGGGAGACGATAACGGGAGCTAGTGTGATCAGAGCGTACGGGTCCGTGGACAGGTTCATACAGGAATCGGAGAGACGGGTCGATACCAACCTCGCCTTCTATCACGGCGCCAACGGCGCTTCACGGTTAGTTGGTCGGGCCGTTTTGACGTTATCACAAACGAATTTCTGTTAGGACTCACACAACTAAATCATTTACTATGTTATTACCAAACATTTAGCTAATAACTTTAATATTTTAAGTACAATACTAGTGACAACTGTCTAGATTCATAAATACATATCTTGCAAAGGCTACAAAATGACTTTTTTGGTAGGTTTAGTGGCATAAACCGGTGACCCAAAACAGAAACTTCCCCAGACATTTTACCCCATGTCCAAATCCGCACACAGACATGGAAATATATCAAAAGTATATATTTTTCAAAAGTTGAATACCTGAACATTTCATTTATCTAAAATTCTGTCATCAGTTCCTTAGTAAACTCCTTCAGTGGCCCAGTAATTAGCCGGAACTTATTTCAGATAGGAACTACAAACGTATGAAACACTTGCTGATTTAGTTGTGTGAGTCCTTACACCGGACTATTCTTACTGCAACTTGAAGAATGATGAACGGGTCTGGGACACATGTGATGCGGTCACGTGTTTCTGTGCACGGGCTTATCGGGCTATGTGTTGAAGTCTCGCGGACACGAGAACGCGTAGTGTGACAGAGTTCAATCAATAGTGAATTGCTGGTGAATATGTTTGAAACCACGCTATTCAACACGGCTAACAATAGTTTTAAGGGATATTTGTTTGTCTTATTTATATATCTATTGTATAGTTAAACCTCGTTATACTGTCACCATTTGCCTAAATTTCGGCGTTATATTATAAAGGAGTTTGGCGATAAAATAAGGAAAATGTATCAAGGAATGATAACAAAAACCAGGAAAAAGGCTCATTGGGATATTTTAGCGTTGAACGAAGTTAAAAATAGATCGAGTGGCATCATATCGAGGTTTTACTGTATGTATGATTTAGTTTTAACGCCTCTCAACATCAAAAGCTGTGAACAATAAGGTAGTGATGTAAGACATGTCACAATGGGAGCAGAATATACATTCTGGTTTCTATTAAGCAGAAGACACAGAACAAAAAGTCCGATTCTGCAGGGCGCTGAACTTGCTCTGTGGTACATCTTTAGATGTATATAGGGATCTTTTCCGATTTTGGTTATCATTTGGCGGGTCGTCGTTGTGTGTCATTGAGCGAGTCGTCTTAGTGTACTTTCGCTATATAGCAGAGCCAGCGAGCGTTCTGATATTTAGACTATCAACGTTCCTCTCTGAGAGAAGTGCAGAAGCTTGAATGGATGTTGTACAAATGTTATATGAATTACTTCTATTGTTTTGTATGTATTTGTTTTGTAGGTGGATTGGTATAGCTTCGGAATCACTCAGTAATACCCTGGTCCTAGTTGCAGCTTTATTTACGGTGTTGTCCCCCACTGTAACCGGAAGTGACGCCGGTCTCTCGCTGACGTACGCATCACAGGTACTGTTTCCGAAAAAAATATAGCAATGACTTGTATACGAAACAATGGCTTGTTTCGTGCCTGTATACGAAACAACGGCTTGTTTACGAAACAGCCACGATACTTATTATATAGCTTTTTATCATTTACACATGGAAATCTCCTTTTTACTTAATTCGTCCGTGATTTCAAAGGTGCGTCACCTAACACAAACACATGTATGATGCTAAGCATACGTGTTTGTGTTTATTAACACATGGATTATATAGGAGTTTGGATTGTAAATTTGGCTAGTAATATAAATATTTCTCGAGCAAATTACATTGTATTGGAGTTTGGATTGTATTTTTGGCTAGTAATATAAATATTTCTCGAGCAAATTACATTGTATTGGAGTTTGGATTGTAAATTTGGCTAGTGATATAAATATTTCTCGAGCAAATTACATTGTATTGGAGATTGGATTGTAATTTTGGCTAGTGATATAAATATTTCTCGAGCAAATTACATTGTATTGGAGTTTGGATTGTAATTTTGGCTAGTGATATAAATATTTCTCGAGCCAATTCCATTGTATTGGAGTTTGGATTGTAATTTTGGCTAGTGATATAAAGATTTCACGAGCAAATTACATTGTATTGGAGTTTGAATTATAATTTTGGCTAGTGATATAAAGATTTCTCGAGCAAATTACATCGTATAGGAGTTTGGATTGTAAGTTTGGCTAGTGATATAAAGATTTCTCGAGCAAATTACATTGTATTGGATTTTGAATTATAATTTTGGCTAGTGATATAAAGATTTCTCGAGCAAATTACATCGTATAGGAGTTTGGATTGTAAGTTTGGCTAGTGATATAAATATTTCTCGAGCAAATTACATTGTATTGGTGTTTGGATTGTAATTTTGGCTAGTGATATAAATATTTCTCGAGCAAATTACATTGTATTGGAGTTTGGATTGTAATTTTGGCTAGTGATATAAATATTTCTCGAGCAAATTACATTGTATAGGAGTTTGAATTATAATTTTGACTAGTGATATAAAGATTTCTCGAGCAAATTACATTGTATTGGAGTTTGAATTATAATTTTGGCTAGTGATATAAAGATTTCTCGAGCAAATTACATTGTATAGGAGTTTGGATTGTAAGTTTGGCTGGTGATATAAAGATTTCATGAGCAAATTACATTGTATTGTAGTTTAGATTGTAATTTTGGCTAGTGATATAAAGATTTCTCGAGCAAATTACATTGTATTGGAGTTTGGATTTTATTTTTGGCTAGTGATATAAAGATTTCTCGAGCAAATTACATTGTATTGGAGTTTGGATTGTAATGTTGGCTAGTGATATAAAGATTTCTCGAGCAAATAACATTGTATTGGAGTTTGGATTGTAATTTTGGCTAATGATATAAAGATTTCTCGAGCACATTCCATTGTATTGGAGTTTGGATTGTAATGTTGGCTAGTGTTATACAGATTTATCGAGCAAATTACAAAGATAACGTTGGCTTATGGAGTATGTTTAAACAGAAATATGTCACCTACTACATACATGTATAAAGGATGAATTTTTATCCTAGTATATACGTTCGACATTGTTTTCGTACTTTGTGGTCAAATTCCGTTAAAAATACATTTTAATCAAACTGTTTTATCAAACGGCGGAGCAACCGTTTTGGCAGGATTAAGACGGTGTTTTTTATGGTTAGGATTTCTGACAGTCAAAGCACGTTAATCGGTACCATTGTGGGATTTACGGCATAATTTAAAACCGACAGCACGTCATGATTGGTCCCTGATCACTCAAACAGTTTGTCTGACATAAGGTTTGTGATTAGAAACATTCACGTGTAGCATTTCGTACTGTTAATATAACATCAGAGATTGGAAGGTTTATATAATAACCCTAAAAAGGAAATATAGATATATCGGATTATCTGTCTTCATCAGTAGATGTTTGATTCAGACGTCATGATTGATATATAAAAATGTAGTTAATTTAACGACTATGTCTATCTGTGTATACAGATAGTGTTTGGTATTGATGTCTGTCTATCTGTGTATACAGATAGTGTTTGGTATTGCTGTCTGTCTATCTGTTTATACAGATAGTGTTCGGTATTGATGTCTGTCTATCTGTTTATACAGATAGTGTTCGGTATTGCTGTCTGTGTGTACTCCGTCAGTGAAATGGAAATGAACATCGTGTCCGCTGAGCGAGTTAGCGAGTACACAGAACTTCCGGCAGAGGTACGTATTGAGTTGAGATATCAATTGATATAATGAAAATTTGATATTATCGAAAATGTTTGCATTTTATAGAGATACACTGTCATCGATGTGCTGTTTGAGACACTCTATCACTATAACGTTGATGTGCTGTTTGAGACACTCTATCACTATAACGTTGATGTGCTGTTTGAGACACTCTATCACTATAACGTTGATGTGCTGTTTGAGACACTCTATCACTATAACGTCGATGTGCTGTTTGAGACACTCTATCACTATAACGTCGATGTGCTGTTTGAGACACTCTATCACTATAACGTCGATGTGCTGTTTGAGACACTCTATCACTATAACGTCGATGTGCTGTTTGAGACACTCTATCACTATAACGTCGATGTGCTGTTTGAGACACTCTATCACTATAACGTCGATGTGCTGTTTGAGACACTCTATCACTATAACGTCGATGTGCTGTTTGAGACACTCTATCACTATAACGTCGATGTGCTGTTTGAGACACTCTATCACTATAACGTCGATGTGCTGTTTGAGACACTCTATCACTATAACGTCGATGTGCTGTTTGAGACACTCTATCACTATAACGTCGATGTGCTGTTTGAGACACTCTATCACTATAACGTCGATGTGCTGTTTGAGACACTCTATCACTATAACGTCGATGTGCTGTTTGAGACACTCTATCACTATAACGTCGATGTGCTGTTTGAGACACTCTATCACTATAACGTCGATGTGCTGTTTGAGACACTCTATCACTATAACGTCGATGTGCTGTTTGAGACACTCTATCACTATAACGTCGATGTGCTGTTTGAGACACTCTATCACTATAACGTCGATGTGCTGTTTGAGACACTCTATCACTATAACGTCGATGTGCTGTTGGAGACACTCTATCACTATAACTTCGATGTGCTGTTTGAGACACTCTATCACTATAACGTTGATGTGCTGTTTGAGACACTCTATCACAATAACGTTGATTTTTAGCGGTCTCAACACCGTATCAAACATTTACGCTCAAAAACACTTCATACCAAAACAATTCCAAACCTCAAATTTGAAACAGTGCAACTTCTAATATAAGCTTGAATCAACAACGTGTAAAGATAGCATGTTATAAACAAACAATTTTGATTCTTCAAATATTTTGTATATTATTTCAAACAAATACTGTGGTAATACTGGGCCCAATAACATTCATTAACATGTACTATTTTTGTATTCCCATACAAAGAGGGATAGCCCCATCCCTTATCGGAATACTATTTGTATTATCAGGCAGTCTACGATAATCAAATCCATTTTTTCAATAAGGTATAATATTTTGTTTTGCCAGACAAAAATAGAATATACCCATTTAATATTACATTTTATATTCCCAGACAGAGTAGACATCCTTATCCATTATTAGAATGTCATGTTATATTTTAATGTATGTGACTAGGTAGAGTGACACAACCCAATTAATTCATTATCACAATATTATATTTTTTTTATATTGCATGACATAGTGTCCCCATATCCCCATTAATAATTTATAGAAACAATTATGTTGTATTGTATATTTCCAGACAGAGTGGAATATCCCGATCCATTATTACAGTATTATGTTATTTTTTTATTGCCAGGCGGAGTGGGATAACCCCGCCCACCACCCGCACGACAGCTGGCCTGACGATGGTACAGTCAAGTTTAAAAACTACACGACCAGATACCGTCCTGGCCTCGAGTTGGTACTCAACGGCGTTAACTGTGAAATACACAGTGGCGAGAAGGTGGGATCAGATTTTATCACATCTTTTGTCGGTTAGATTTTGGTTGTATCAGCTCGATTAAACTTATGTCGTCCACAACGTGACAGATATTGAAACTAACATTGGTTACAGTGTAAATATATCACTTTTCGAATTGACCAATCAGAGCGGCGTTCTAATTTACTGCCATCAAAGACACAGATTTTCTTGTTCAAATAAGTAGCCTTACTATCAAGTTGACTTTTATAGAATAAGCTGCAAATAATGACGCTATCAATAGCTCTGTTTATTTGAGACAGGGACATTTTCGCCGTTTTTAAAAATGTAATGAATATGAAATAAATGCTTTTTTCCCGTGGACCATCATGTATGCTTCACTCGTATGATAGAATATAATTATATTTTAACTCTTCCTTTGCAATAGTGGAGTATTCTGTCATAATTTTGAAATTTAACTGCTATTCAAATGAAAATAATTAGATATAAACTAAATAAATAGTAAACAAGATTTCCCCTTGAATCTGTTACCCAGTAATAATTGGTACATGATCTTTGTATACCTTGTGGTTTGATACAATCATTGTTAGCAAGATTGTATTATACATGTATTAGGTACACGGCAGTCTGACGTACCTGGCTTTCATACACATTATCACTAGCTAAGTTTCTAATGTTAAAACTACCTGGACTCATTATGGAAATCGTCTTATGCATTAAATTCATCTTCGATCATTGAGGGACTAGCATTGGCAAATCCTTATGATTTCTCAATAAATTATGTTGAAATGCCCTGTTATAAAATAAAATTTTATACAAATTGTTACAACTTCCCTCAACGTTTTATTCAGCTTAACTCCGGAGACAAAATGACAGAACCTATTAACTGATAATTGCGAGATTGCCAAGTTAAGTAGGTAAGGTGTATTGATTGGTATCTAGGCTTGTACTACTTATATTATTATTGCTTTACCTATTCTCGTTTTCGATTTTCGTTTATTACAACATTTATCATGCGCCGCATGTTTTTGTGTGATTGATTTGTATTGTTGTTATCAATATGCTGTAATTGATTTTCATGTTCTTTAACACTATTGCCATTGTACCACATGTGGCACGCACTATTTTTGTCGTGAAGTATCTGTCTGTCTCTCTGTTTGACTGTCTCTCTCTCTCTGACTAACTTGTTATATAATTATTATATTTTTGTTTTGCCACGAACAAAACGTGTACTATGAAAAATTGTTTCATATAAACTGAATATTTGCAACCGAATTCGATTATATTTTAATTGTTAAGAGAGCAAACCATATGTTTCAGATAAACATTCCATGGATAATGTCTTAATTGTGTTTTATACACCTTAATCGAAAACATTAATTTGTGCATTATATATCTTACATTGACTTTTTTTTTAAATCTGATATTTAATAATACCCCTTTGCTTAAACTTATACACATATTTTTAAATCGTATTACGGGACCGAGAATAAATCTCCCGGACTCTGGTAATTATAGTACTGTATAACATGAAATGTTCGTGGTTACTTTCCTTCGTGGTTTGAAGCCATTTAAATGGTTTCGTGGAACACATATTCGTGGATATCCTATATTAACAAACAGTAGACACGTGTATCATTCAAATATGTTGTATTTATTTACGTGGTTCAATAGCAAAAACGAAAACCAGGACTGTTTTTAACCTTTGCTACATTGTGGTCCTTTAACAGGTAGGTATAGTAGGACGTACCGGGGCTGGGAAGTCCTCGCTGGTGCTGGCGTTGTTTCGTCTTACTGAAGCCGCCTCGGGAAGTATCACTATAGACCAGAGAAGGATAGCTGATCTCGGTCTTCATGACCTACGCCCGAGGATTACCATTTTACCCCAGGTAATATTCCGTCCTGTGTATGTGATGTACTGTAGTTCTTCTAAATGCGTAACGTATGTTTCGTAATTCCTCACAGTGTTTGCATATTATTATGTGTTACATATCATATTTTATTCGTAATTGTATTTTTAAACTTAGTGTATTATATTACGTGTATATTATCATTCCTTTACCCACCTATTTCATTTTATGTGTTTCTATAAACTAAGGTGTTAAGAACAATTTTACAAGTTTTATGGGTTTAGATCAACTTCCGATACCCCTATCCTCCACCCTATCCTCGATATCCAGGGGATTCGCTCACTTTCGCTCGTGCAGAGTTTTATCCCTGTGTGTCGACAATATTTATGAATCATATTTATATGTTATTCTTTAGGATCCAGTGATATTTTCTGACTCCATCAGAGCTAACTTAGACCCCTCCAATCGGTTTTCTGATGAAGCTGTTTGGCGAGCGCTGGAAAGTGCTCATCTCAAACAATATGTATCCGGACAGCAGAACAACATCTATCATGAGTGTGGAGAAGGCGGTTTGAACTTGAGGTAGGTTAGTGTAGACGGTCCATCCATCGTTAAATGCATCATTATACGTTACACATCCTCTTGTTAATTCAGCCTAAGTCAGTCAAGCTATTTCCATCCTCATAGAAATATTATAATTAACTAATTCTAACATTATTATCATTATTATGGCGTCACCATACAAATAAGCATGATATTGTCTCTCCCGTGTGTCACGTGAAATACCATAGTTTAAACCCTCTCATGTCTCATATATATGCTGTAATAAGAGAACAACACATACATGTCCTTACATTTATTAAACGTGTTTCTAATATGTGCCTTTACCACGAAGTGCTGGACAGCGACAGTTGGTTTGTCTTGGCCGGGCTCTGCTTCACAAAAACAAAATCCTGATTCTGGACGAAGCGACTGCAGCCGTTGACATGGAAACAGATGACTTGATACAACAAACCATAAAGATGGAGTTTGAGGAATGCACTGTTCTCACCATCGCCCATAGACTCAACACTATCATGGACTATGACAGGTATTGGTGAACTCATTAAACATAATTCATTCATGTGTGCATTTGTGTTGACCATTAGTACTAGTAATGATTTGTAAATGGGTTAAGGGTCATTGGGTTAAGGGTCAATGGGTTAAGGGTCATTGGGTTAAGGGTCATATGAAGCAATAACATATTTAATTTGATTGGCCTTCTTTATAGTCTGAATAAATATTTTATCATGTATTTTTCCTTATCGTTTTTCTACTCATTATATCAATTTTGTAAATTTAACAAACTAATAAGTTGGAGGTGCTTTAGCTGAAGATCAATAAATAATCTATAAAACCCTCTTCCATTTATCATTGTAATGATTCATTCTTGCCATTTGTATTACTCTTCAATGTCGAAATCAATGGAATTTCATAAAGGATTTTTATTGTCCATCAACTTAAAAACATACGTATTAAGATAGCAGCTAATGTGTCTTTTCTATTACATAGAGTGATGGTACTCGATAAAGGATTGATAGTCGAGTTTGATCGCCCCCAGACCTTATTGACGGATAAAGACACTGTATTCTACAGCATGGCGAAGGATGCGGATCTAGTGGACTGGTTTGATACCGAAAACAAACTAAGATAGACGACACGTTACCAAGGAAACATTCGACATCCCTTGGCAGGGAACGTGATAAACATATTTGTGTGTTTATCAGATGTGCAGACTGGTCTGATATTAATTAAATATATGGTGAACGATACTTTTCATACAATAGAAAGATGCTCTTTTTGGCACTGTCATCACCTGCATACGGTATATTGACTAATGTGTGGTCACAGGATTGACGGGTGTACTAAAATGTCTACAAGTACATGTTCATCCGCTCAATCTTTCACTGCATTCTTCAAAATCTTATTCATCAAAGCGAATAGGCGAAACTTTAACTGCGGGAAAATGTTTTATGTATGCAGTGTAAAAATCGTCAATATGATATTCACTTTTGTGATTACGTAAAACTCTAGCTGAAACTAGATTTAAATGATGTTTCAAATCAATTCTTGTATATCACTGACTTCTACGATCGTTAAGTTGTAATAATTCATAACATACAAACACAATGTTTAAATGTTAAATTAGATTTCTATACATATCACTTCTACTGCAAGATCCTCTATAAGCATTACCCTAAACATTGCGCCCATGGGGCTATGAACGCAATAAGATCAGTGCCAATAGGAAGCGTCTCCTACCACCCCGAATAACATATGACAACCTTAGAAGCAAACATTTTGATGACGTTAGGCTGTTCCAGGAATCTCGTTAGCACTGCCGACATAAACACTTCAATATTGAAAATAGGATGGAATATCTGGAGTTAGGTAAAAAATTACTTAAATTTAGGAATGTAAACAAAAGGATATATCGGTTACATACATATGTATCATGAACCCACTAAGACCACCAGGGCTTCATGGAACATGTATGTAACCGATTGGCGTTCATACTAGCATGAAGTTGAGAACAATGCCGTTCAATCTTGATATATTTTCTAATTATTAATGAACTAATTTAAATAACAAGAAGGCTAAGTGTATACTGGCCGTATTTAATATTTCTGTTTATTGTGTGCACTCATTCCTAAAGCTCGGAAAACGGTACATATATCTATGTATCTTGGCGGTATCTTTTGTGCATTCAAAATTATTATAACCAATCTTTGTGTAAAAAAATATGCATATCACAAAACTCAATAATTATCATAACGAAACATTAGTGCATTTTATAAAAAGAACTTTGATAAAAGTAAGGCAAAGTGAGTTGTGTTTAATTCCATTTTACCAATGTTGCCATGTTTAATGTAGTTTAGGATGTACGCGTTCATTTTGGTTAATCATGCCTTGTGCGTCGATTGTAACTTACATTTCCTTTACGATAAAGTTGTATTTTGCATTTCTCAGAGGAGAATACGAGGAAGGCATGTGTGTGAGAAGAATAAAATATATCTCTTGAATATCCATTGTCTATTCATTCATTACTACAGTGGGTGTAAAGTCTGTTTACTTCATAGCATGCACAGGATATCACACGTCTACCATTCAGCATAGTCTTGGACCCATAGCCATGCTGTGTGGAGTGTCGATATCAGCGATACATGTGGTCACATTGCATGTAGTTATAGGTACTGTATATCGGGGCATATTCGCCCAGTCATTCCTTAACCTATGAACATCTATATTCGCCATTCTTTAAATCACCCTTCGCATTTGGTGATAACAGAAATTCTTTGTAATGGTAAATCGGTCCTATACCTATAAAAAAAACTATAAAAGTTCAACTACAGCGAAAACAGTATGTCTTTGATATATGTGTACATTACATTAAAGTACGGAGCACGGTAGTCTAGTGGTAGGACGCCGGGCTCGTGACCGAAGGGTTTCGGGTTCGAGTCACGGCGTGGCACTGTGTTGTATCTTTGAGCAAGTTACTTTATTCCGCTTGTCTACTCAGCTGTAAATGAGTACGTGGTTGGACAGTGCTAGAATTGTTCAATGCTAGTTGTGAGCGCCGAAATGGCAGCTCTGGCTGTATGCTCCCCAGGAAGTTGAGAAAGATATTGGCTGGTTGCGAAGGCCATCTAACCACGGACAATGATTTGTGAACCGCTTTGAGACGACCTACGAACTAGGTAGTGATAAAGCGGTATATAAGAACCTCGAATTAGTACTATTATTTTATAATAAATTACGTAGGGGAGATATTTGTCTGAAATATCAAGGTAGCATACCATGGAATGTAATAAATACACTTTTATTAACCAGCTGCTGCGTAAAATGATAATTGTTATAAAAAGAGAAATTTATTTTGATTACTTCGGTATATTTTTATAGCGACATTTTTCATTTCACTTGGACATTTTAATATTATTTACGTTTTTTATTAGTTTTTTTTGTATCCGTGCCTGTATGTCTCTATTCGCCTGACAGTACTAGTGATAAGACTTCATAAAGCACGTGGAAGTTATATTATAAACATGTTTTGTTTTCTAACACGTTTGCAAAATTCAAGTTTATGGGCGGACAAAGGCGCTATTAGTAACAAAATTATAGGGTAACTGCACAATTATTTAAAATGACGAAATGTGCTGCAGTTATGTTAGTGTTTTAAAGTTGAAACATAACATTGAATTGTGTACTTACAGTCTACTTTGAGATCATGTATGAACTGTATTTAGTTGTACTGATTGAATGAAACTCAACATCAAGTAGATTCTGTATTTAACGCGGGCAGCAGATTAAATTTTACATTTGGTAAACACACACGAATGAATGTATTTGGTACAAATAGTTGAATAATTTTACAAGATAGAAACAGAACAGATCGTGTTAATTCTAACAGACACAAGAACGTGCTGTTTAAATATCGATTCTTCTGAAGCGTTATCGACCTTTATACACATCAGGTTCCTTTCTTATAGTCTTCGACAAGCTAATGAATGGTGAACATGTTATATTAAGGGGCGTGCCGTTATAATCCATCCTTAGACATTACAACGCGTGTTAACGGGTTCGTATAATGTACCAGGACGTCAACATATTCCACCTATAGCATTGCCAGGCCATAGAGCGATCAGGCGTGATTTGAAATCACTAGAGCGTACAAACCGGATGTGCGATAAATGTGCTCAGATTTAGCGGAAAGTACAGAGACCAAACACGAATTGACACAACCTCCATAGTCGAAGTAGGAATAGGGCAGGGAGTTGTTCAATCAAGGATTAGCTTAACATGTCGTTACCAAATGTTTCAAAATTTCGATTTTGAGAACCATTTGAAAATCTATATACAAAACCTCCGCTTCTTGTCCTCATAAGGAACTTTTGAAATTCCTAACATACAGTTTTACCTCTACGGATTGGTAGCTATAACCATATAATCGTTCTGTGGTAAGTTACGGTAAAGCTAACCAATATCCTTTAAACAACCTGGCTAGGATATATAGCGCTGCGATAGTTTGTCTTGGAACCTTTTCTGTTATAGATGTGCGTAGAGTACTAGTATTTAGGGAGTCGTGTTAGTGACAAGGAGAGAGCAGTTCTGTAAAAGAAAACCAATGAGTAGATGCCCACTACCTAATCGACTCTCAGTTGTTGTTCTAACTCTTACATTATTTATATAACTTGTTTCATTTGTGTCAGTTACGAGTCTGGTGGATATCCTTCGAGTTAAGAGAAATATGTAATTCCCAGTCGTGAACTTATCAAATGGTGATGACATCATAATCGTCAGAATCGTCGTGAATGAAGCGACTTCGATTTCCTCACAAAGCAATTAAGTAAAGCCTATCAGGAGTTTAGTTTTAACGCTCAAACTGTGAACTTTGAGAATTTTAAAACAACGTTATTTTGGAAAGACAAATCCTCCAGGAGTAGTTTTGAAAACTTTATACACAGTGATCAATGACATCATTACTCAAAGGATGGTTTAAGTAGGTGAACCCGATGTGTCAGGACAGACCAGAACCAAAACCCTAATCTGATGCGACTGTCATCAAAAGTCTTTAACAATTCCAAAACAGTCAGACTTTGGCTTCAGACCACGGATATTCTGGTAAGTCAAACTCCTATTTATTTGAGAACTGTCCGGTATAACCATTTAACAAGTATAAAATATGTAAACATGTTGGAATATCAAAGCTAAGCAGGAACACGGGAGTTCGAAAAATGCTTCCCTTTTTAACTGACGTTTTTTTATTATGAAATAGCATATCATCATTTGTTAAGTCAGGTAGGATCATTTAATGATTTATTTGTTATGATACAACTAACATGTCACATGACTCATGCATAAATAAACCATTTGTACCTTATTTATCATTGAATATAAAATCAGTTTATAGCACCGGTGATTGTCAGCTTTAATTGTTTGATTCTTAGAACTTTTTTAATTGAGACAATTTCCGTTTTGACATACACTGCTACAGTAAACTTTTAATATAGAATGAAATATACTAAGGGTGACAGAAAATGAATTTCTGGTACTTAATTGGTTTATAAATTTTAAAGCGTAGAAGGTCTCAATATCGGGGGAAATATAAGTATCTGGAGGAGGAAACTCTGGTTGTCGAGCACGTGACCCAAAACATCGTTTTGACTGCGACACCCAATCACTCATTTTAGATAAAACACAACGTTTACTCTTCCGGTACACCTGGTCTGTTCCCTTCATACTTGTTCAAGGATCTCTGTTTAGATCAGTCATTTGTTCAAAATTACATTAGTTTATCGCTTTTAAATCCACAGAATGGTTTTATCGATATTTAGGTATTTTCTGGTTAGTGTTTGAGGTGGGTACGGTAATTCTGCTATAATGTTATCGACACAATATGTTCGCGTTGATAGATAACTTTCACAGCAAAACAATTAATCTGTATAACAATTCAAATAACATTATCCAAATGACCCTCTTTACACCAGATGTATGAAATTACCAAGTTTTATATTTACAAATGAAATAATATCCTTCTATTGAGTTAAAAATGTTTCATCTCTTTTGAAAATAAGCATCGGATCTTTTCAGGAAGATATCGACTTAACAGATAACAAAGAAACTGGGTTCTTTCACAACACGATCGTATGTGATATGTAGGATCTAACGTAGAGTTCCATTTCATGTGAGATTAATAACAAGACGGTAAGAATGGGTCTTAGAAAATACAACACGCTTCATTAATCTAATTTGAAATTGAAAAGACCTGAAGGCAAACAGACTGACTGACATTCTTCATTTCCCCCAGGACCGGTTGATGATTTACTTTGTTGTTTAAGAAGAACGAAGATGCAATGCAATACTCTATAACTGCAACTGTTTGTGCATTTCATATCGACTTTTGGAAGCAATTTGCATTTTTTTTTTTAAATTTCGGATGAGAATTATTCGCCAACACTTACAAGAATTGAAATCGATTTCAATTACATGCTATGTTAAAAAAAAATGAAATATTGTTCAGTCTACCGTTGTAATGAGAGATAGGTAGCTTAATAGAGATTCGAGTACGACATATATGTGTTGAGGCAATATATAATATCCTCTTTTATATGTTTATGTTTAGCAGAGTACTGAATCATGTCAACATTCAACGACATGTGTCAACAAAGTAACTAGTGGTGTGGTATATCAACGACAGGTGTCAACAAGGTAACTAGTGGTGTGGTATATCAACGACAGGTGTCAACAAAGTAACTAGTGGTGAGGTATATCAATCACGTTTGTTTCACGTTCATGTTTAACCAGCATTGCTTCTTTGGATCGACATTGCATACTTGAACAACTGAAACACAACAAGAGGACTCACCAAAGGGAACAAAAGGGAAATACCCAGCCGTGTCATCATTGGGAATGTTCAACAAATCTTAATCTGTTTCTTGTATACGATATGACTGTAGTATTTTGGTTTTGTATTCTGCTCTAAATGGACACATTTGGTTATTTTAATTCATCAGCATGTTTCCTTTTAACGATAAGTACCGTTTCTGGATATTATGCCTGCAGTTTGTGTGTCTCGTTTCCCATGGTGAGTACGGTCAGTATACATCTTATGTTACATATCATTATGCATATGAAATGAAATGCAGCTTCGAATTCTTTTTAAGTATTAATATATATATAATTGAAGTTTTGTTAAAAAACAGGAAATGGTGTCAAATGAAATACTGCATGTACCTACAGATGTATTGATATGTACCTACAGATGTATTGATATGTACCTACAGATGTATTGATATGTACCTACAGATGAATTGATATGTACCTACATATGAATTGATATGTACCTACATATGTATTGATATGTACCTACAGATGTATTGATATGTACCTACAAATGTATTGGTATGTACCTACAGATGTATTGATATGTACCTACATATGTATTGATATGTACCTACAGATGTATTGATATGTACCTACAGATGTATTGATATGTACCTACAGATGTATTGATATGTAC